AGGTCTCAAGTTCTTGCCTTGCGAGGTGAGGCCTAAACTTTGAACAACCAGCTCGCACAGGCAGGCATCCAGTGCCTCCGAGGAGGCAATGGACACAGCGGTACCCCTGGTGCCGAAAGAGCAGCATGGCTCTTTGGAGCACGGCGAGAAAACAAAAAAAAGCAAATAACGGGGCCCGGTGACGGCCCTGTTATTTGCATTCCAACTTTACGCCTAAACAGCCACTCTCTTTTCGTACACACAGTGCTACATTGCTTTCATCATGAACGCACAAATTATACAGTGGAGCGTCAGGGGCCTTCTCAGGAACCTTGACGATGTCGAAAAACTTTTGCACAAACGCTCACCAAAAGTGCTGTGTGTACAAGAAACACTCTTAGATTCTAAGAGCACCAATTTTCTATGCCATTATGTTATATTCAGAAAGGACTGGAATGATGCTGTGGCGTCATTCGGTGGTGTGGCCATTATAGTTAATCAAGGCCTAGCATGTACACACCTACCACAACAAATATCCCTTGGAGGCAGTGGCTGTTCGAGCAGTTCTTTTAAACAAACTCGTCACCATCTTCTCCCTTTACATACCTCCACTGTACCGCCTTAAAAACATGAATTCGAGTCCGTAATGGATGAACTGCCAGAACTTTATCTGGTCCTTGGGGACCTGAACGCACATAGCAGTCTACGGGGTGATCCTCGCTGCGATGCACGTGGTTGCCTAATCGAATGGTTTTTGTTCTCTTCCGGTGCATGTCTGTTGAATAGGATAAAACCAACGTACTATTCCCTCGCAAACCAAATGTACTCTGCTATAAACCTCAGCATTGCATCTCCAACTCTTCTTCCTCTACTTATTTGGTAAGTTATTGCGAATCCCTACAGTAATGACCATCTTCCAATAGTATAGTGCGTACCAAAAGGAAATGAATCTTCTCTACAGGCTCCTAAGTGGCCGATTGAGAAAGCATATTAAGAACAGTTTAAAAAAGATGCACTTTAAGCTGGAGTGACATGTGTGCCCTAAGCTTAGATGCAGCTGTCGACTACTTCACAGCATTTTTGATTGATGCTGCCACTAAGTGTATCCCACAAACTGGACTGTCCGCCAAACGACGCGTTCCTTGGTGGAACAATGATTGTCGAAATGCTCGAAAAAAAGCAAAATAATACATGGGGGTTGCTTCGGAACTCACCGACAGCCGAGAACGTTGACAATTTTAACAACATAAAATTCCAAGGCAGAGGTACGCGCAGACAGGCGGGAAAAGAAAGCTGGCATAAGTTTTTATCCGGAATAAATTTATATACACAGGTGGCGAGAGCCTGGAACATGGTAGGTAAGGTAGTAGGCCGGCAATCTCATCCACTTCCTCTTGTGAACACACAAGGCGACAGCTTGGAGGGCCAGACAAACTCTCTTGGGGTGCACTTCGAACAGGTTTCCAGCTCATTGCACTATACCACATCATTCCAGCGATACAAAGCAATACAGTTGAAGCTTGATACAACAAAACTGAAGGGTCTCGGAAAAAATGTCGTTGTAGTGAAATCAAAAAAATATAGCGAATCTGAAATAGCAAAACAAAAGAAAGTTTGTTTTCAAAATTCAAAAAGTTTCGCTGTTTTTTATTCTATCCCAGGAGCGTAACGACGCGATTCTCACTCATGCATAGCAAGGCCATGGTGAAAAGCACGCTGAAACAATGACTACAACCACTTTCATGAACGAACCAAACAGTTGCATTAATTAACACCAGCAGTTGTGCACCGCCAAAACGTCGAGATGGCAGCAGGGTATCGTGGCGCGGTGACTTTTGCCTTATTTTATGCCATTCTTATCATCCATCACTCGCGGCTTGCTGATTTTGTTGATAATGTGGACGAACAGTCGCTATGATTAGTTACCACACTGGCTAAGCACAAACAAAATGATAAGCATTAGAATCAGAAAAGGCATCGTTTCGCAAATGCACCCAGCAGTTGCGCGAAGGAAACCATCAACTAAGCAACTGAGCTTTAGCTTCCGATCGTTTGCACTGGCAAAAGCAGGGCAGTCTCAGTGCCATTGCTATCGAGCAATAGCAGCGCCCATGCTTGCTGAACAGCGGTGGTTTTGGTGCTGCCAACGTGTGTTTTAGACTTTGTTGACGTATTTTCAAGTTCTGAAAATGCATCAAAATGTTAAAGATTGGGTTTACTGTACAGCAATAAATATCTGAGCCTGAAATCGCATCGTGAAATTTGGTTGAAGCGGGACGGCAGAAGAAAAAGTGTTCGTTGTGGCGACAATATTTGTGCATTGACTCCCATAGACCGCTGACTGGGAACTGTGAATTTTTTTGTTGTAGCGGTAATTTCGTTCAAGCGGGGTTCGACTGTAATCGAAAAACTAAAACTAGAGCGCAAATCCGCAAAACACGAACTATACAATCAACCTTTCATCTTAGATGAGTCACAGGCATTGCTAAACTGCTGCAATAGACCTGCTCCAAGTTCCAACCGAGTAGTATATGAAATGCTAAAACACCTGCCCTCTGAAACACTAAAAAGCTTTTTTCTTTGTATAATGCCATATGGTTTTCCAGCGAGATTTCTGCCTGGAAAGAAACCATTATTATTCCTATTTTAAAGCAAGGCAAGGATCCATCATCCGTTAAAAACTACAGGCCAGTTGCACTCAGTTGCTGCCTGTGTAAACTTTTTGAAAAAATGATAAACTGCCGGCTTTTACATTTTCTGTAAACAAACAATCTACTTGAGCCATACCAGCACTGATCATGTGCTACTCATCGAGGCACAAAGCTGCAATGCTTTTGTTCATAAACAATTTTTTCTTTCAGTATTTCTAGATATAGAAAGGGCGTACGACACGACATGGCGTTTTGGCATACTGCGAGACCTTGCACGGTATCCGAGAAAGCATGCTTATCATAATCGAACGCTTTTTGTCCATTCGTACTTTCCGTGCCCAGGTGGGGATTGTCTTCTTTCAGATATTTTTGTCCAAGAGACTAGAGGGCCTGAAGGTGGTGTACTAAGTTGCACACTTTTTATTATAAATATAAATAGTTTGTATCCCGACATTTGACGCAATATGTTTTATTACACGTATGTCGACGGCGTGCAGATCGGTTTTAAATTCTGCAATCTCGTAACTTGTGAGCAGCAGGCCTAAGTTGGCCTAAACAAGGTTTTCAAATGGGCAGAGGGAAATGTGTTTTGACTGAATCCGCAGAAGAGCACCTGCGTCTTCTTCTCCAGAAAGACAGGCATTCACGTTGACCTCAACATTTACCTACACGGTCAATGTCTGTTCCTAAAGTGGGAGCATAAGTTTCTTGGCCTAATATTAGATACTATACTAACAATTTTACAGTAGACTTTCAGTAAACAGAACCTTAATGGACCAGGAAAATGTGTTCTATTTAACAGGAGTTCCGTTTACTAAGAGGTGAATAAGGGTGCAAAATTCAAGTCTGAAACTAAGCGTTGCAGAGGCAGTAGTTCCGTTTAAGGAGTAGTTATGTTTAACAGATTTCCATTTATTGAGAGTCCACTGTACTTTATATCCAATCCGCAAAAAACAACTGTCTAATAACCATGAATATTCTGAAAGTGTTGTCATGCAGGTAGTGACAAGAAGTGCCTCCTCAATCTTTATAAAAGTATCATTCGAACACGCCTAGACTACGGGGTTGTTGTCTATAAGTCTGCCACGCCAAGCGCTCTAAAGCTGCTGGACCCTGTGCACCACTTGGGCATCCGCCTTTCTGCGGGTGCTTTTTGTACTAGCCCCGTGAATACCTGTATGTTGACTCGAACGAGTGGTCATTACACCTCCAGAGATGCTACCTATCGTTTGTGTACTTCAAAGTACAAGCGAATAACAAACACCCCTACACTACACTATCAGTGATATGTTCAGTTCTGTCCTCTTTGACAACCGCCATGCCATGAGACAGCCCTATGCACTTTGTGTGGGGAGTCTAGCTAAAGAAATGGGCGTGCCACTAGAACAACATTTGGCTGCCCCTGCTCCATATGTCCCGCCTTGGCAGCGGCAGTTCATAGATTGCGATATATTGTTTGTTGAAGTTACCAAGCATGCGCCTATTGCACATATTCGTACGTGTTTTCTTGAACTCCAGCATAAATACCCATGCCCTGAATTCTTTACAGATGCCTCAAAGACAAATACTTTAGTGTCCTACGCAGCGGTCGGTTCATTCTTTACAGATGCCGGCACTCTGCATCCCAACACTAGCATCTTCACAGCAGAAGCCTACGCGATACTTGTGGCTGTAAAACAGATACAACGACTAAATACACAAAGCGCAGTAATATACACAGACTCCCTGAGCATTGTAAAAGCCCTCAAAGCCCTGAAAACACACAAAAATCACGTCCTAGTCTCACTCTACTCACTCCTGTGCACAGTTTACACACTGAAAAAACATGTGTGATGGGTGCCGGGGCACTGTGAGATAATGTACAAGGAAACGTGTTGGCAGACCAGCTAGCTGAATCCGCCAATGAGAACTCCACCAATACGTCCGTAGCTATCCCTGCGCCTGACCTAAACCCTTTTCTTAGACGAAAGCTCAGAGCTTACTGGCAGAGCACATGGAATATACTCACACAAAATAAACTACTAGTTACAAAGCCGCAATTAGGTAACTGGCCGCCAGTATCAAAGTCACACCATACAGAAGTTAAACTTACAAGGCTTAGAATTGGACACACTTACAGTACACATTCATACCTTCTGTTTGGTGGAGACCCTTTGACCGTGCTTCATATTTTAATACAATGCAGTGAACCAGACCATATGAGAAAAAAAGCATTTTTCATTACTACATCGTGACCAAATGCCTCTTCATCCAGCGATGTTTATTTGTAATGATCCGCTTTTAAACTCAATTCACTCTTCTCGTTTTCAAATGATGTTCATTGGTTTCACTTCATTTACCCTGATATTTCGCTGTGTGATCTCTGAACAGGCATCACTGTTGCGGTGGCTACATTACAGGAAGCACTGGCTTCCCTGCCTTTGGCCACAAAGGCGTTGAGTAAGCATGCATGCTATTGTCCATTCCTTCATGATTGTATTTTCGCAACTGTTTGCCGATTATTTTCACTGCAATTCTCATGATTTTAATACCTATATATTTTATCTGTCTTGAGGGTGGGGAATTTTGGGCCTCTACACAGCCACTTAACGTAAGCATTATTCACACTCTTAATCATGCACTGACACTCTTTGGCCATTAATTGGCCCTTGCGCCAATTAACATCACATAACAGCGACAATAGACTTAGAACTGTTTGCAGGGAAGGGTTCAACGTATATATAAGTTGAATCCCTTCATAAGAGGCTCATATCGGGGAGCTGTTTTTGTCTTTATATGAGAGGTTTCTTGCATTCAGAGTATTATGTTTTGATTGCAAATGCAGTCCTTATTTCGATGAGGGTGCCCTGCAACACAAGTAAGCACAAAAAAGACTGTAAACTGTTTTAAAACATTTATTTTTTGACACTTGTTTTCATTCTACTGTGGTCTTTGAAATATTTCACAGTCTTTGTATGCTTCAAGGCTGTATTACTGTTGTTTTTCAGCCTGGCGTCCTCCAGCCTGCTGACAAAGTCAAGAGTTTCTTCGGCACTGTGGCAAAGCTGTATGTGCTCATAAACTTTTCCTAGTACTGTCATCACCTCACTGGAAGTCATTAAGGGTATACTGTCAACTTTGCTGTCAAACACATTGATGGCACTGCTTTACCCTTGCTCATTCTGCATCATTTGATTGTGCTTGTATAATTAAGATTCTCTGCAGCATCGAGATTGTCATCTGCTTCAGTGAAGTCTTGAAACACGCAAAATAGGCCAAGTTTACTCTGTATAATTGGCCATGATTCTGGATCCTCAGCTGTGTATTGCAAGTCTTTATGCGCTATGTTCTCCTCTGTGTTTTCTGCTTTATGGGGCGCCCTCTCACAGTGCTCTTTTCAATGTCATTCCATGAGCCAGCTAGCATTTCGGTTGCTGTTTTCACCTATATGGTTGTTTTGTCCTTCTGTAGCATGTCAAACAGCAGCTGTTGAATTAGTTGTACAGTGTGTTTAGTTTTGACAGCATGTAGAACTCCTTGACCTTGAGGCTGTGGCAAAGATGTGCAGCCTGAAGGGAAATAACTCAGCTAAACACCTTTCAATAGTGGTAGTTTCACCTCTGCGGAACAGCTGTCTAGAACCATCAGAATTCCTCCAAGGGATTGAACCAACTTTTTTATTAGGTCCAAAAAAGACGCGAGTGAACTCAGCGTCACCTGGTTAGGCCCACGCGGAGGCGGTCAAGTTAAACATCACCACTCTCGTGCGGGCCCTTCTGGATGGCCAGAATTTGAGAGGTGAGGTCCTTGTTCGTTTCCTTTTGGTGGAAAGGGTAACCGGCAAAAGCATTGCCCTGCAGAACATGCTCGAAGTCTGCATAACCACCACACAGAGGGCAATCTGGGCTTGAGAACCATTCGGGGTATATCGTGTGCAGTGCCGCATGGCTCGGGTAGGTTCTTCTTTGAAGCAATCTGAGAGTAACCGCTTGGGCCCTGCACAGCGAGGAGTGTGGCAGGGGCAGCACTCTTCTAGAGAGATAATGGTGCTTGCATATCTCGTACCTGCAGAGAGGCTCGGATCGCCTAGGAAATGGCGCGTTACCCAGCACACAGTCAGTCGAACCTCACGCGGCCGAGTGCGCATCTTCGTTTGGATTGCTCGAAGGACCCTCAATGGTTCCAAAGTGTGCAGGAAACCATACCAATGAGCGATTTTTAAGGTCTTTGGCTTTATTGAGTATCTGTAGGGCCTGGGGAGTTACCATACCCATCTGAAATGCCTTGATAGCAGCCTTGGAGTCTAAATAGTGTCATGCACACCTTCCATCAATGCAAGAGCAATGGCGAGCTTCTCTGCAATGCTGGAGCTGGAAGGGCCGATGGTGCTGCAGTGGATTGCTTCGGAATCGCAGTCCATGACCACTGTCGAGAATGCTTCTTTATCAGCATACGAAGCGGCATCTAGGAAGCAGGCTTGTTCATTGTCCAAGCGAGGACTGAAACTTTATTTTGGTTACTCAAACTTTTTCTTTTGCAGCTTATGCTGGTGTTGGCTTTACTATTATTGTGCTTTATAGCTTTTGATAGTTTCAAAGTAAGCAAGACCACGATGATAGCCACATTCATGTTTTTAGGTAGAGTTGTTGTTGACGGGTCTTGATATTAGTAACTGTACACGCTGGCTATCTTTCAGGTTTGTTGACTCAACAGATGTGCTGCTGCATTTTGATTGCAAGCATTGTGTGATGAGCTTACACCGCATGCTCATGGTATTCTTGGCTCCTTCAGCTGTCATGGACGTGCAAGCGTGGTCTTGGTCATTCTCTTGGCCGTAGACTTGAAATGTTTCTGTGTGTTGCATAACCATTCTAGGTGCTTTTCATCATTGTTTTATAACTGAAAAATCACTGTACATTTCCTGAAGTTGTGAAAAATAAATACTAGGACTTTCTCGCTAGTCCAGTCAGCGGTCAATGAGGCTGTATTTAGGGTTTGAATGTCTGTTACGAACGTTCTTGTTGACCAAAATTCTCTGATAACTTGTCCTTCGTGACCGAATGTCTTCTAGTGTACCCAGTGTCTCTTACAAATACCGTAATTACTCGAATCTAACGCGCACCTTTTTTCCGGTTAAGCCAGTTCATAAATCGCATGCGCGTTAGAATCGAGTACGAACAAAAAAATTACGGTCAATCTATTGCCATCGGCAAATCCAAAATGGCCGCCCCCTATGTGCGTCGGCATGGCGCGTCGGCTATTTCTGCCTATGTGTTTCCCACGTGCGGCACTTCGTACGTGTGCTGAGGAGTTCATCTAGTAGTGCATTAGCATCGACGGCGTGGAAGGGCCGACTCCAAAAACTCGAGTGCACCACGATGCCGCTTTTAAAAGAAAAGTCATCGCGTGTGCAGAAACGAACAGAAATCGGGCCGCATCGCGGTCGTTCGGAGTTCCCGAAACGTGCGTGCGGGACCGGCAGAAACAAAAGCAGAAGATTGTCGACAGCAAAGCTTCACGCAAAGGCTTCAGTGGACCACAGCAGGGTCGGTTTCCGCAAATTAAAGAGCTGCTCAGGCAGCATGTGCTTGAGCAGCGAGCGGCACAGCGGCCCGTGACGACAGAACTGCTCCAAGTGCGGGCTATGCAATTGCTCTTAGAAAAAGGTCTAATGCGGAGCCAGTTTAAAGCGAGCAGGGGCTGGCTAACTAACTTTATGAAGAGGAAAGGCTTTTCCCTCCGAAGGGGAACATGCATATGCGAAAAGTTTTGCGGAGGAGTACGATGAAAAGCTTCACAGTTTTCGGAGGTTCGTTCTAAACTTGCGGCGCAACAACGGCTACATGCTTGGGCAAATCAGGAATGCCGATCAGACGCCTCTTTACTTCGACATGCCTGGCACCACAACCGTCGAGAAGAAGGAGGCGAAGCAAGTTCGCGTGCTGACATCGGTCCACGGTAAAACTACTGTGACGGTAATGCTGTGTTACACGTCAGATGGGCACAAGCTTTGCCCGTACCTCATATTTAAATGGAAGACGCTCTCGAAAGGAGTCGTTTTTTCGAGTGGTGTGATCGTGCAGGCCAGCGAGAAAAATGGGTGCGCGTTGCAATCGATGTCTTACGTTTTTTTTTTTTTCCGCGGTGGAAATCGGGTGCGCGTTACAATCGAGGGCGCGGTAGAATTGAGTAAATACGGTAGGTCAAATCATTGGGAGAGATCGGGTGGCCAACAAATTGGGTTGATGGTGTCCGTTACAATAACCGTTTGGGGAATCTGTTACATCCTTGCCTCTTATACAGTTGACTCTCACTAAATATAAACGTTGATGTGACAGACACACGTGAGCTCTTCACACCATTTTGTCCAGTCGTTGAGAAGGTGTTCTGGTACTAGTTGGTCCCATGACAAATTTTTTTTCCAGATTTCTTAAAAGAGAGCCTTCGCTCTCACCATATAAGGAGAAAGAAATTCCAGGGGGTTATATAGGCGCACTGTCGTTTGCGGTACAAAACGTTTTGTGTTTACTTGCACCTTGTAGAATTCAATCATGGAGTCTGGATGAAGCGTGTGGGATCTCGATGTGATGAGAGTTCCACGCTATTAAACACAGACACAGTAGACACGGCCGGAACGAACCAAAGAACACACATTTATTTAACTGCTTTTAGATCGAAAGTATCGTCAGCCAAATTATAATACACATAAATTGTGATCAACACACTAAACAACCTTACACAATATTGCACAACATTCAAAAACATGACAAACACAAAGCGGTGGCGCCATAGAGAGCCCCCAGCAGACAACCCGCGGTGCCGCGCACCGGGTCCCACCGCAAGAAACAACCGCTCACTCCACCCGCCACACGCTAAAAAGACCCCTCATCTGTCCCGTGCTGCCACCAATGCTTGCCGCCAGTCCTGACAGCCAGCACCACCGTTTTAACTATGATGATGATGATGATGGTGGTGATAAACACTCGCGAGCACAACGCCACCTACCACTTGATAGTTGTCACCCCGGAATGCGGCTCCTGCGCGAGACACATGCGCCACGAGGTGCAAACAATTTTACAAGGGGTGTTAGCACCCCCACAAGCGTTAACAATCTCCAGCCAGTTTTCACGCAAGACCAAGCACCTTCAATGGGTTTGTCGTTTGCCCTAACACTCATTCGGCAGGGTCCCTGCTTGTCCAGGTGCACAAACACCTTTTCAAATATGAAATTAGCTTCTTCGTAGATCTTCGTGGCTTTCTCTTCATTAGCTGCTCCACACAACAGGTCGTCCACGTAGATAGACTGCTGCACAATGACCACTGTTTCGGCGAGATCATGTTTCATCGTTGCGAAACAATGTTGAAGCGTTTTGGCTAAAAAGAAAAGGCTCGATGTCGTCCCAAATGGGATTCTGGCCATCCTGAAAACCTATGCCTCGGAAAATGGGCTGGTAATCTCAGGTTTTTCACTGAACCACGGAAACCTTAATGCATCTCAGTCAGTGGAGTAGACTGCAATTTGCAAAAATGCTTTTTGCATGTTGCTAACGAGTGCTATTCTGTGGCATTGAAAGTTCAGCAGCAACCGTAGAAGTTCAGGATTAAGGTTAGTTCCACTCCTCAAATTTTCGTTGACTGATTTTTCTCCCCCGCTGTAGGAAGACATGTTGAAAACGACCCGCAGCTTCGTATTCGTGCTTTTTTTCGCGGAGTACTGGCTGATGTGGCTTGTAATAAATGTGTTTGCCGTTATCAGTTTCGTCGCGCACACTTTCGGCTATACCTTTAGCCAGTAGCCATCTCACTTCATTGTTGTACTCTTGCAGTAAGCTAGGCGCCTTTAATAGCCGTTTTGTCAACTGACAGATGTGTCTCTCCGCTACAGCATGGTTATCTGCAAGTTCAACCTCGTTTGTCATGGTAGCCTGATTTCGTAGCATTAGTTCACTTCTTTATATTCTCCGGAAATTTTTTGATTAGGCGCCTATTCGCTGCGGTTTATGGATGGTCAGGTACTCCAATACTTTCAAGCTCCCTGAACGCCCTGAAGATTGGCGCTGTTTCCTGATCTGTTACAGTCGTTCTCAAAATGATCACATGAGGGCAGTTAGTTCTTAGTTAGAAACGGAGCAGGTGACAGAGCGGCGGTCGATGCGATGATCCTGGAGACGATGATGTCCTTGAGGCAGCGTCGTCGTCAGGTGTTGCAGCTCCATCTCCGTCCCCTTCCTTGGCCCGTGATTGGTGGCAGTTCAGCACCAACTCCCTTGGCAGTGCTCGCAGCAGCATGGGGTACAGCATTGCCTTGTAGGACCCTCTACGATGCCCAAGGCCTTCAAACCACGAATGTGTACGTGGGTAGAGTTGAGCATATTGATTGATTTGTGGGGTTTATTGTCCTAAAACCACCATTTGATTATGAGAGATGCCGTAGTGGAGGGCTCTGGAAATTTTGACCACCTGGGGTTCTTTAACGTGCACCCAAATCTGAGTACACGGGTCTACAACATTTCCGCCTCCATCGGAAATGCAGCCGCCGCAGCCGGGAATCGAACCCACGACCTGCGGGTCAGCAGCCGAGTACCTTAGCCACTAGACCACCGCGGCGGGTCAGAGTCGAGCATATTCCGGGAATCGCGCACATTTCTTGTGGAATTCAATGGACATAGGTGGATCAAGCCTTGCATATTTATTTATTTATTTATTCACCCTCAGGGTCAATAGACATTTCAGAAGGGATGGTCATATTTGCAAAAGAAGTGTTCTAGTTATACAACAATAGTATAAATTATATAGATTATTAGTGTAAATAACACAATAAGTAACCCAACAATATTATACATTGACATTTGTGGAGGACAACAAAGAAAAGAAATAGTAACGCAATGAAGCAGTGAAAAGTAAAATACAGCCATACATAATGTACGATGGCACATAGCATTTACACCATATGGACTAAATGTTATAAAAAAAGAAAGAAAAGTATATATAATGTCACTGGTAAAGCACGCTTGATTAAATCAGAGTCACTAATTTCTACCATTAGTGCAGGAAGGCAATTTTATTCGTTTATATGATTTGAACTAAGGCGGAGGAGTCCCCAAAGCGCTTCTGAAGCATGTCGATAGCGTCTGCGTAGCACTGCAAAGTTGCCGGCAGACCAGCAATCATGGCGAAAGCCTCCCCAGTGAGCAATGATTTCAGGTAGCTGAATTGATTGGTTCTTGGATCATTATTGATGGCCATGTCAAACTGCTCCTAAAAGGGTTACCTGTTCCTCCTCTTGCCGTCGAACTTCAATATGTCCAACTTGGTAAGCTTCGTTCGTTGCTTTCGAATGGCTGGGGCCTCCTGGTCATCGTTTCCTTTTGGGCACATTTCCGTTGGCATTCAAGTCACCCAAAGTACATCGCTAGCTTATTGCTGTATTCTAGGACTGTCTTAAAGTACTGTTTGTTCTGGTGAGGTGTTCGAAACGAAATAACGCCGATATGGCACAAACAGAAGAATGTCAAAATAAAAGTACCTACATTTCTTAGCCCTGAATTGGCACATTTCGATCTATGTAATCACTGCTTTAAACGTAAAAGTAATCACTGCAAGTATGGCTATACAACATGCGAAGGAAGCAGACATATGGCCGAGGGGAGCATCTCAGGCTCGTACTACCCCCCCCCCCCCCACCTCCCCGAAATTTCTTTTTGTCATGGCATATAGAGCGCGAAAAATGACTGCCTCAAAGGGTGCTCCCCTCCCGAAATCAAGAACCAATGCGTTATTGAACCTCGCGCGGTCTTGGATCCAGCGACAAGAAAATACTCACTTCTTTCATAACCATGTTTAAACGTGAATGGCACCTAATATCAGTGCGCACAAAAATGTGGGTAACAATTCTTTTAGATGCGAACTGGCCCAGTGTTGGCACTCAGTTTTATCTGCTCAATGAGTGAACACGCTTATGTCGAAAAAGAAATGCT